CCCCAAAACCCCAAAACCCCAAAACCCCAAAACCCCAAAACCCCGTGGCGGTATAGAATCATTGAAATAGAGAGGGTAAAGTTAAATAATTAGATAAATATATTTAAAATATGAACTTAATTACACAAAAGATCCAATTCGATGAGAACTTATCGGAGGATTTTCTTAGTGAAGAAGTTTCCTCCTGCAAGATAAGAACTTCAGAAAAGATACTTGCTAATATGAGCAGAAAATCGCTTAGCCATAAAAAGTATATGAATCAACTTGACTTCAGCTTTTGAGCCATTCAGGATAAATCAACAACGACTGGAGCCCAAAGTGAAGCATCACCATTAAATAGATTAATAGAAATCAAAGAATCCTCTAAGAAAGCCAGGAAGATGTCTTCTTTCAATAAAGCATGTGAAAGCCCTGATAAGAGTGACAAGAGTCAGCACTCATCATCTTTGAAATCAGAGATTAGTATCCTTCTTAAAGTAGTAGGAAGTATCCGCAAGAGAGATATGATGCAGAATAAAGAAAGCAAGTTTAAGCCAAAGACTTCTCCAATGATTGCACAAGAAATCACTATGAGAGGAATAGCTCCTGCAAAAGAATACTAGGAGCTCTAATATAAATTCTTTACTAAATATTTAATAAGAGTTAAGAATATTTACCTTGGAGGCTAGAAGCAACCGTATTATATTGTTGGACCTTTCATAGCCTTATTTACTAAAGAAATTATTGATGTCTTTTCTAGAGTCCTAAATTGGTATTTTGGCCTCTTAGTGCCTCCAATTAGCAGGAATAAATCTTAGATTTAGTGACTTCATCAATATCAGAAAGTGTTGACTTGTTTAAAAGCTTAATAAGTCTTTATCTTCGTTAATAAAAGATTTTTAGACTTCACCTGGTTTAGCTCAAAATAAAGTTTGCATTCCCAATTCACCAGTTAGTGCTTCTTTACTAAATCAGGCATCATAATAATCCCTGAAGAAGAGGAAGCATGGAACACAATATAATTGATTCTTATTAAGCTCCAATTTTAAACCGTGAATTGGCTAAACTGTTTGTCACTCAGATCCATGAAAAGATGGTTTACCCAAAACTCCATTTTTATAGAAAAACTGAAGGAAATTTGTACCTTTATAAACTCTGAAAACAAGCGACACAGGATTATTTACCCTATCTTTTACTTCAAAATATTTTATTAGAGCTGAAGTCTGGCTTACTTACCTATAAGAGCTTACTTTTTGCTTCTAAAGAGATGAAATAATAGAACAGGTTGTTAGACATAACAAAGGAGCAGAAGATTATAGGAGTAAAACTCTTTATTATGAAGCTCTGTTTTAGTATGAAAGCTAGGGTTTGGTGAACCTTGTCGCTATTGATTATTAAGAATTCTACGAAAGTGCAAGTTTTACCATAAATGTTATGAAAATAGAGATATTTACTTAGCTCTAAAATCTAGTATGGTAAATCTGAGGCCTTTAAAGCTAATACTATGAGATCAGGTTTGTTTCTAGACAAGCAGCTCTTACTCTTGCTTAAATTAAGTATGTAAGAGCTTTTCACTAATATGGGAGTGTTTTCACCTCCTTTACTTCTTTTCAAATACCAAACATGAGCAGAATTTCATCGACTAAAACTGTAAGAATGAGCTTTTGAATCATCTGTAAACTTACTGAGAATAAAGGAAAAATCATATTTTTAAAAGGCTTATATCTCTGCATATAAATTTGAAATAGAGACTTCTTATAGTAATATTTTAAATTATAGTTGACCAAGAGGGTAAAAATTAAGTAACCATTACTGTCAGATTATTTATTCTTTTACTGAGATCATTAAGACTAAAAAGAATGATTACCATAATCCTACAAAAAAATTACTCTAATTAAAAGTTAAGCTAATTATTCAAAAGTTTGATAAGTTAAGTAAGAAAATAAAAGATTCTTTAGCCTATGAGATTTATGATACTCGAAGAATTTACTACTCTTTAGATGAAAAGAGAGAATCGTATTTGGGCTCTTCATCTTTTATAATTTTTCCATTAGCCAAGGTAAAAATTTCAATTAAGCAGAATGCTAACCTCTCTAAGTGTTCTCCTCCATTCCCAATGTCATATATTTTTTATTTAATCTATTTCTTGGTCCTAAATTTTACATTTATCTTATTTACCTATCTGGTATCATGGTTGATGCTCTTTTGAGTTCACAGGTTTAATAAAATCTTCTGAATCAGGTTTACACTAAATATTTTGCAAACTTCTGAAGATCCTAGAATGGAAGGAGCAGTTAGGGGCGTCTAGACTTATTATTAACCCTTTTAATCAATGGGATTATGATACTTAGGGGTTTTGGGGTTTTGGGGTTTTGGGGTTTTGGGG